GTTGTTTATACTTTTAGCAGCTCCTGACCTGCTAAAAATGACAGATTTTTTTTTCTATATCTCTGACAGACGGACTTCAATCTCTGAACTCGTAAAGTTCTTCTTTTTAATTTTTGCTGTCATTTTCATGAATGAACACTTCCTTGTATCTGAGGCAGGAAACATAGCCTTATATGGTGTTTTTGGGGTGGTAATTATGCTAATCTCCTCTCCTCGTGCACAAGCAGCTGGATACGAACAGGTGGAATTTACGCAGCTCATTTACACACTTTTCCTGAAGATAGAGAAGAGTTTGTTGAATCTGATGTGGCATGTTCGTACGAACCCTTCGTACGAACAAAAGTAAGAGAAATTTAGGATAAGAATACGAACATATTCTTGCATGAGGCCAAATGTCATCACGTTTAGCAGAAGACTCTCAATCGTTCATTCATTTCAGTCTGGTGTGTAAAAAAAACATCAACATTTTTTTGGTTTTCTCTCAGAGTGGGCGTACTTATTGCCTTCCATCTTGGTGCCTGTACATTGGGGTTCAATGAGAAGGTAGCCTTCCTCAGCCTACATGTGGGGGGACAGGTTCTGACTGGAGCTTGTGCTTATGCACCTAACAGCAGTTCAGATTACCCACTCTTTTTGGAGTCCTTGGCAGTGGTGGATCTAGGATTTTTCAGTGTAAGGGGCCATCAAGGGGCCACAATATTCATAGAGGGGCCAAGTATTTGTTCAACATCCTTGCACATAAATCCACAGTTTTTGTAATGTTTATACATTTAATCGGTCACACATGTTCAAACACTTGTAAAAGCTTGCATAGTAAATTCTCCTTATCAATTTGACATGATTTGTACTGTGAATAAATAAAATACTCTCAAACACACAACGTGAGAAAATCTAGTCATCGTTGTAAAAAACTTTTCTGCAGGATTGTTCAAATTGAAAAAGACTTCTGTAAGCTTGCTGGACTTTCCTATTTGACTCACTGGCGCCACTAGTGGTTGTAAGTAGAACTGCAACCTCCATCATTGTTCTTGGTCAAGGACAGAAGAGTGAAAGGACAGGGACACTTCAGGGGGCCAATTGGATTTCAGATGGGGCCAATGCCCATGTGGCCCTGCACCTAGAACTGCCCCTGGTCCTTGGAGAGAGTTCTGGAGAGCGTGGGACTCCTTTGTTCTGCTGGGGGAATTCTGTGTTCATGTGGACAATGACAGTAAGTCCAGGAGGGGTGTGGTTGGGAGGAACCCCCCCCCCCCCCCCCACTCCCCGCAATCTGAAACAAAGTGGTGTTTTGTTGTCGGGTTTCTGTGCTTATCAAGCAGGCATAACAAAACCATGTTCATGAATAATGGATAAAAATAGTATGGTTTATGGTTTATAGTGAGTGGGGATGGATAAAGAACCCATATGAGTGGGGGCCTCGAAAGTGGGCCAAGTGCTCGCCCCAAAAAGACACTGGTTTTTATTCAAACCTTTGCGGTGTGATGAAGGACACGAGGTTAGAAACACTCAGGGTTCTGAGCTTCTCGGGATCCATAAAGGGGTCCCCAAGAATTCTTTTCCTTTGATCACTCAGAGCCAGGCAGTGGTCTAAGTAGTGCAAAGAGGCCTTTAATTCAATGCCACAGACATCACACAGACCATTGTCATGGAGTCCCATCACCATTTTGTGGCATGCCCAATTAGGACTCCAGCCAGTGTACTTAAAATTTTCCTTGTCAAGGCGATTGAGAGCTTTCCCAAACCTTAGAAATGGCCTGTTTATCAGTTTCCGTGCCTGTCTACAGTCCATCAGCTCCCTCCCGCAGATTGAGTGTTGACATCTAATCCAGGCCTGTAGGGCAGTCCTACAGACTGTTGTTGAGATACCTACAACAGGGTCTGGTCCATCTGGTCAGATGTTTTAAAGACATAGTCAGATTTTTAGCATTAACCTGGAATTCTGACTTTGTGTCTGGGAGAATTTTTGTAAGAATTTTTTTTAATACATACATACATACATACATACATACATACATACATACATACATACATACATACATACATACATACATACANTATATATATATTGTGACAGATTTAATATCTACCTGACGAAATAGATTTGATAGTTAAAATGTGTTTTCCACATCAGAAATGTAAAAAGTAAAATAATACATCTACAAACCAAAACGTTGTGAAAAAGCAACAGAAGCATTCAAGGTGATTTAGCTTGAAAAGCTTTGTCTGTCTTACCCTAAGTATGATGCTTATAGCACTATTAGCCTGCAGAACAAAGCTTTTATACAAACAATGACTTTGGTATAAAATTAGAGCTACACTTAAAACACAGTTTGCAGATAGTAACCTAAGTCAAAGTAAATAAAACCAAATATTTGATCTGGATTACTGTAGATGTCTAAAGCTACAAGTTAAAGTGGGAGCAGGACAGAATATTTTACAGGAAAAAAATATTAAATAAAAACACGAGCATTCTTTCTGTGGTTATAAAAAGTCTGCACAAATGAACATAGAGGCTAGAACAATTTTTTTTGTAAATGTTGCCCTCTAACTCTGGTTTAAACTATTTTAAAATAACAACTCTTTACATGGATAACAGCTTTGCACAATATTAATGATATTGAAACCAAAGTTGGCACCACAAATGCTGAAAACTTTCATAATGATTGTTTTTTCCTTTTTCGATATTTTAAAATCACTTCAACCATCAGGGTAGTGTGGACAAATGTTATTACCTATACCAGCTTACAAGGTTCTTCCTTATAGATCCACACTAAACACAGACTTATTCAAAAACTTCTACTATAATAGTGGACTGCAAGTCTAACTGTAACAAATTAACATGAGTCAGTTGTTCATAAACTCTTCAAGAAGCCTAGAAGTTTGGTTGATTGGTTACTGAAACTGGATACAGTGTATTTGAAAAGTACCTAATACAGGTCTCACTCACTCTGGACCCTTTTTATTTGTATATTTGATATTCTAATCTAATCTATGTTCATATTGACCCAGATCTTTTCATTATGTAGTACTGAATTAGATCTGTCTGACATTTTTTTAAGAGCAACCTCCCTCTACTGCCACTCTAACTCGAAAAGATGGTGGAAAAGTTTTGATGGTGCAGAATGGTCTTATTGGTTACACTGGTGGACACAGACTGTATATATACAGTATATACATATACCTGGAGAGGATGTAGTTTAATGAGGTACCATCAAAACGTCTGGTACTTTTTATGCAGATACACATGGTATATCTCTTGGACCACATGGGTTTTCTCTGAGAACTCTGGTTTCCCACAGACCATAAAAACATGCACAGTCTTTCTAAGTCATTTAGTGTAGACTCTCTCATTGGAGGATGACAGGCCACCAAATGTGTTTTGCATGTTTCTGTGTGTGCATGCAGTGTATTTTCTGACATTATTCCTGTCTGTAAGATCATTTAAAGCTAAGCCTTATATAATCTAGCATGTTTTAGATGAAACAGCACACATGAAGTACTCACATGTGAAAAAAGGTTTCTGCCAAACTAAATGTTAACCTGTTGAGATAATTTTCAGTTTGTGTATTCCAAGTGTAACACTTTTTTTTAATTATCAAGAGGTTGAAAACCTGCACTGGGAGGACAAAAAAATCTTATAATATATTTTTCTTTGACATGATAATAAAAACCATTTACATTTTTGTTTCAGTTGCTCATGTTCAGTTTCCTCATATTATTAATTCATAAACTCACCTTTCACTTGAGCTTTCACAGGTTCAAGAGTTTCTGATCCATTCTTTGTAATAATCTTCTGCATATTTACTTCTTTTCTGTTGTGCACAGCTGCAATAGGGAAAACCAGAGCAAACTTGAATGCAGCTTGTTTCGTGCAGCCGTCTTTTACGTGATCCACTTCAGGCATAAATAATTTCATGTTATGCAAGAGTGCAGCTGTGGACTCTGAGCAGCTTTTCACAATAAAAGACTCTGCTTCATGCTGTCCACAATAAAACCCATCCAAAACAAGGACAGAACATGTTACTGGAACAGCAGGATTTTAGTTTAGTTTTCTTAGAGTTTAGGATTATGAATTAAACCATTTTAGGTGATTTTAGCTTGAAGGGGAAATATAATTTGCTGAAAGAATCTTTGAACTTGAATGTTATCATGAAAATGATAAATGTTCCAACACTCTTTTTGTTATCGCTTATCTAAATAAGAGATAAGAAACTCCCTGTTGTAAAATGATACCACTGGCCTCAAGCTCTAGCAAGATCGATTAGCACTGAGGGTGTTTTGTGAATGATTCTCAGCATTGGCATTTTTGTTTTTTAAGATCAGTTAACTGCGGTGATCATATGAACTGGATTGGCTCCAAAATTGAATCAGCTTCTGGTGTATGTACAATGACTACTACCTGAGATTTTAATAAAAACATTTCATTTTTCATCAGTGCATGATAATTAATGGACTGCTGTATTTTGTATAAACATGTCAGGCAGTACTGAATCTTTAAACTTGTGCATCCCTTACCCCACCCCCCCAGGGGAAAAATAAAAACAAATTTACAAAAGAATTACATAATAAAAAATATATTTAATCATATTGACATCTTAGCTGATCTTTTGTTTTGTCAATTAGAAAAGACAAATTTATAGAAACAGATTTAATTAAATTACTTTCAGGGTTTTTGGGGTTAAAGTTTTGTTTTCCTGCAAATTAGAAGACATATCCAAGTTGTAAATCAATTTGTGTAATTGGTTTAATCAGTTTATTCCTTTACAACTACCACTTCTTATCAGTCTCCACGTCAGATTTTATGCCAATTGCACGCCAACAAATGTGCTCAATGTGAAATTATAAAGGACTTAGAGTAGACTTTCAGTTTCACAGCAGGAGCTGTAATATGTTTCTGGTTATTTTTTGATGCGACTTTTTGTTATATTTGTTTAGTTTTATTGTGAAATCTTTGCACTTTGACAACATAGAGCTTATGACCCACTTTTTTAAACATTATGTAATGACACAATTTGTTCCTGAACACAAACTTAACACTTGACATCCTGCGGCTTAAAGATGATGGATAACTCCATGCTCCATCTCATTTGAAAGGCTTATTGAAAATAATTTCAAGCCTTAATACATATCAATACATTAAAACATAACTTTTTAAATTATAATTTTTTTTTGCTTGATTAACAGTTCTGCTTTGTTTTTTAGAAATTATCAACCAATTCTACTTTTCTCTTTAACTGCAGACAGACCAAAATGAAGACATTCCATTCTTGATTTCTTAAACTTCTTTTTTTTTTTTTGTATTTTCCCTACCTGCCTTTTAGGCTGCAGCAAACTCACTAAAAACTTATTTCAGTTATTCTTTTTAACTTTGTAACATTTCTGCTCTACAAACATTTAGACATTCTGACAATGACAATACCAAGGGATGAAGAGTTTCCTGTTTTTCTGTTTATTGAAGCCAGCTGTGGGGAGCCTGCTGTAAAATTCCTGCATTAATTCCACCATTATGAACTTGATCTAAGCCTAGACCTCCATACAACCAGACTTTGTGACTTGCTGCCTTTATTGTTTTGTCTTTGTGAATCCAGTCAACCCAAAAAATATGATACTACCATCACCATGCCAATTGTTAGAATATTTGTACGAATATTATATTGTTATCTCATCTTATTAACTTGTTTGTGCTCTCAGCTCTATAATGTTTGCAGTTCGACCGAAACCAAGGCGTGCCGTGACATTTTCTATTGAAAGACTGAGAAGGAGAAGTTGTTTTCCAAGCGCTGCAACTCATGGTCAGCAYGACCATGAGTTGTCTTTATCTCTTGGGAAAAGAATGTGATGATTCACTGAAAATATGTCAAACCTGTTTCAATAGATTTTTATCCCACCCTTGAACGGTTGACACACACATGTAACCAGAGCATTCCTAAAACTGAATAAAAAGCCTGTGAGAGCGGAACTGTTTTCAGGTTGTGGTGGAGAATTGTAACTGAAAACAGTCTCCGGACACTCTCCTTGCAAGTAAAACTTTATTGACTCTGTTGTGTCTTTCCTTGCAGTTCAGTTACATTAATGTTTGGTGTTTAAACCTGACATTAAACTTGGTCCTTCGAGCCGGATCTCAAGAGACCTGAGGGTTCCAGCGGACGGATGAGAGCCTGGTGAGAGTCTGTGGCCACAGCATCGAGTCCTGTTTCCAGGGCCAGTCCTCATTCGCCAGCTGGGACCTGATGGTTGACGAGATACCAAAGGGATCGACACACGAACAGGCGAGTCTGTTTTCACTTAAAAAGGAGTGAAAGAGTGATTTAAAGTAGAGAGTAAAACGTGAAAACCTTGTCAATCCTAGGCACTTACAAGTAAAGAGATAAAAAACAGTTAAAATCCGTAAGGGCGGCGGCGTCCACTTCTTATATAAGTTAAAGTCCGCGGGACGGCGGAGTCCCCTGTTTTAAATAAGCTATATTACCAGTGAAGGTAAAAGAGTAAAATAATTCTGTGAAGTAAACGAGCTCTAAAAATAAAAAATAAAAAAAAATAAAATAACACACAGTGTGTGTGTGTGTGTGTGTGAACGAGAGTGTGAAAGGAAATTCTTTTTCCACTTGGAAATTGGATTTCATATAATATCTGATAACAAATACAGTGAGTATCAGTGGATGCAGAGGTAAGAGAACCGGAGAGTGGGGTTCTACCACTGATAAATTATCACTGATAAAATATCCAGTGTTAGAGACCCCAGGTCTGCCCCCACTGGATCCAAAAGATTTAAAACTGGAGATACGTATATCTGATCAGCTACCCCCTTTAGACTTAACACATTCCAGAACTCAGGAATTCATTATACTACTGCGCCCTCTATCAGAGTTAATAGAAGAAAGGGCCGACACCAAAGTTGTAGTATATGTGGAACCAGTTTCAAATAGTGGACCTGATAGAACGTTAGGACAAGTTACAGTAGCTTTAAGTAATTCACATTCAAGTAATCAGGTGACTTTCATGATAAGTTTGACCGACCTAAGTTAAAAAGGGGAAGTCAAATAGCAAAACAATAGATGAATTACAATGCAAAGACTGGAAGATAATGCAGGGAAAATATCCAGAGTCCACCAAATATCTGCCAAAATGGGTTGCTAAACACAATTTCACAGGCCAGCAGGTGAAAGTTACGTTCTGGATTGAAGAGGATGAACACACTGTTTACTGGCAGAACCCACAAATTAGAGGAAGAGGTAGAGGAAGAAGCAGAGGAAGAGGGAGAGGAGGACCCTCTAGGGGCATGGGAAATCCCAGGTCCTGCTGGTCCTGCGGAAAAGAGGGACACATGGCTAGAGATTGTAGAAGCAATCCTCACAACAACCCCTCCAGTTCAGCGTGACTAGAACCAGATTATTCTGAAAAAAAAAAATAATAAAAAAAAAAGAGCGAGGCAGAGACAGAAGTGATGAACCTGGAAGACATTTTATTTGAAGAAAAAGTAAGACCTGAAGTGACATTAAAATAAATGGACAGGAAAATTATATATAAATTATAAATTTCATTAAAGTAAAGGAAAAGCCAGGCCACCCGGTAACCAGTTCTTTTCATTTTTTTAATGTTTATGAATGTGGAGAAACCCTGAGCTTTCAGAGCATAGCTGACTCACTTATTTTATGGTTCAAAGGTCAGTTTGAGGAAGATTAAACGGTCTTATCTCCTTGATTTTCTCTGAGCATTTTGCAGGCCACTTTGGAAAAAAAAAGGATGTTGTTTTTATTAGAGGGTAAGAGAGAGGCGGCGCGGCGAGATTTATAACTGTAGGAAGAGGCGAAGTGTGTGAAAGAGAGATGTGATGCCAAGAATTGAGAGAGGAGGAGGAGGGCTTTTCCGGTGAAACTCAGGAAAGGTCGTGGTGCTAGATTTATTTYGTGAAAGGATTTGTAATGTAGACTAGTGAAAGTAAAAACTGTAAGTTTGTAGATGGACTATATGGAAAGTTTTGTTTTGAATCAAAGAGGCGATGAGGCTAAGATGAGAATCAAGTGAATTTAAGCGGGTCCAATTTTTCTATATATATATTTTACTTTAACATGGAAATCCCTACCTGCGAGTAGATTTATCCCTACAATGGTTGTCCATTAAATTATACATTAGATGCAGGAGGATAAAGCACAGCTAAATGTTCAATGTTCTGTGTGGCTTTTAGAAARTAGCAACGTCTCATTTTAACATCAACTGAAGTCCCAGAGAATCAAAAACTGGCCTCATTTATTAAGTTTTATACAATGTGGATCGGAAATCATGCTTTATATTTCCCAAATAAAGATAAAAAAAATACATAAATCAGATCACGTGTTGAATGTTTTCAGTAGTCAGCTCATGTGAAGGAAACATCTTGGGTACTGAGTTTAAATGAAAGACCCACTGCTTATTATATTGTATTTTTATTGCCTTTTTTTGTTTTGTTTGTATTGCATCTTATTGTGAACTGGATTAACAGTAAAAAAAATAATAATAATAATTTAAAAGTATAAAAAAGAAACACTTGGATCCACCTGACTCACTGCAAACTGGTGATCAAAAGAGATGAGTATAATCACCCTCTCCATCATCGCCTATGGCTTAACAGTGACCCTGAGCATTGTGGTAATAGTTTTATTTCTGCTTAAATCAAACTACCCATATCAGTCACTAGAAGTTGCAAAGAGTGCTGAACCCCTAAATAACTGAGTAGTGGGGAAGCCTGACTTCAAAGGGATTCTGCCATCTAGAGGCCGTTTGTCTCAACGTCAGTGAAGACATCAACGATCCCTACTCAATTAGAATTTGGGTGGTTTGGTGGCTTTGTATATTGAATAGCACAGGGTTGTCCAGGTAAGGGAAACCCTACGCTGTGTTGTGACTGAGATGGAAGACCAGGATGAGCCCCGCCCTAGGGGGCGACATAGATGGTATGAGACACCCAGAGAAACTCCACAATGCGTGTATCATGTGGCCATGATCCTCATTACACTCATTATGTTTTCCATACTATTTTGGTTTTTATGGCCTTTAGTTACAGGCAAAGAACTTTTTGGCCATCCGATGAACCACTGACAAAGAGTTGGTGTGTTATCATGTGTTCTTTGTCTTAGCCTAAACAAAACTGAGTGACGTTCTGACGTCTGATGTAAAAGGTAGCACCTCCTGGGGTGTAGCCAGGAAGAGATAAACATTATAAGCTCAATTCATTATTATAGTAGAAAGAAGTTGTCAGTGTTTTTTTTTTATTTTATTTATTTATTTAGAATTTTGTCAAGTTAAATTCTCCCAGTTCTCCTTCAGGCTGTAGCTTTTACTCATGAATATTGGATGTGGAAACGTCTCGTTTAATTAAGTCCTGGTGTCTTGT